TGGCGCCAGCTCAGCGATGTTGCCTCCCGCTCCCAGGGCTCTCTCAGGTGCCTTCCCACAGGGATGCGGGCAAAAACGTGGCCTCCTAGAGTCCTTGGCGTGGGTGGTGGGGAGGGAGCTGCCAGTCCCTCCAGGAAAGCTGGCCACCCTCCTACGTATGCACGCCTGACCTCCTGGAGGACTCCCCTGTGCCCCTTCACAAGCTTGCCTTCGCCCCTCTGCGCCTCTTGTGGGAGGGGTCCTGCGTCCAGTTCTTCTCTCCTGGACGTTGACTGAACCCAGCTGTTCACAGGCAGGTACTGAACCCTCGCACATGTGGAATCAGGGTTGGTGGGGGCAGCTGAATGGCATAACAGGGGTACCATCAAAGTCCTAAGGTGACAGGAGGAGAGGTGGACAGGGGCGTATGTAACTGGGGAAGCCAGACCCAGGCCTCCTGAGGCAGGGCAGAATTGAAAAAAAGAGGGGAGTGAATTTGGGGGTTCCCCACAGCTCCAGCACTGAGCAGGTACCCTCCCTTGCAGCCCCCTGCACCAGGCAGTCCCCCTTTGCCAAGCAGAGGAGCAAACCACGCAGACATGCAGGTCCTAACATGTCAGCCAAGGGCATGGAGGAGGCCCAGGACACCATAAGGAGGTGGCTCAGTTCCACAGTACCTGCCACCCATCACTCAGCTGGGGGAAGCCTTGCCACTGGGAAAGAGGGGCATGACAGTGGCCACGACCCAGGAAGGACAGGAGAGAGGAAGGGGGAGAAGGGAAGGAAGGTGTGGAGGTCAGCACTTAGAGGCAGCAAAGGGCTGGTTTCCTTGAATACATAAAGAGCTCCTAAAACTCAGGGGGAAGAAAACAGAAAAATTGGAAAACATACGAATAGAGAGTTTCCAGAAAAATCCATACAAATATCTCTTAGCTCTGTGAGAAGCCACTCAAACATCTTCATATTCAGAAAAATGCCAATTAAACTTGCACTGAGATACTATTTCTCACCCACTGGATAGACCTGGGTGGCATCTCAGCCATCAACAGGTGCACAAGGCAGGGGGCTGTGGGGACGGAGGACTCCACAGCCTCCATGGAGAGACTTGTCAGTGCCTTGCCAAGCTGCCTATGGGTCACCTTGGGCCCACTGCCAGGAAGCTGTTCCAGAGGTGTACACCAGCTACAACAAGGGACAGAGTCCTCACTGTGGCATTATTCAGAACAGAAAGGGTCAGAAGCCTCCCAGGGCTACTGCGGCATGACTGCATGGACCCAAGGTACATCCTGTGTAATACACACCAGGAACAAGATGACCACAAAGAAACCCTGAACTCTTAGTCTTATTTGTAATAATGTTAGTGTGATCATTTTAAAACTACTACATGTGCATCACAGAATAAAGCAAATAAATGTTATTGTTATTAGGGATGAACTTCTCAGCATAAGAGGAAAGAGATGAAGGATTTTAAAAATCAAAGAAGTTAAGTAAAAACAAGAAATCCTAAATCTGAGGGCTGGAGATATAGCTCAGCTCAGTTGGTAGAGTGCTTGCCTTGCATGCACAAGGCCCTGGGTTCAATCCCCAGCACCACAAAAAAAAAAATCCTAAATGTGAAATGAAAAGATTACAGGCTGGGCACAGTGGCGCATGCCTGTAATCCCAGTGGCGCTGGAGGCTGAGGCAGGAAAATCGCGAGTTCAAAGCCAGCCTCAGCAAAAGCAAGGTGCTAAGCAACTCAGTGAGACCCTGTCTCTAAATAAAATACAAAATAGGGCTGGGGATGTGGCTCAGTGGTCAAGTGCCCCTGAGCTCAATTCCCAGTATCAAAGAGAGAGAGAGAGAGAGAGAGAGAGAGAGAGAGAGAGGGAGGGAGGGAGGGAGAGAATATGAGTATGTGACTTATTCCTTTTGAAATAGAATACTTATTTTCTAATTTGTCAAGTGCAGAGACCTGGAGGCAAGGACAACTCTGTGCTATGGTTGGATTTGTGTGGTTTGTCTTCCAAAGGTCCCTAGGGTGGTGTTGGGACCGTGGGGCCTTTAGGAGGCAGGGCTACCAAAATTTGGTAGGTTCCAGGGCTGTCTCTGGGAGTGGGTCAGGTCTGCTGGGTTGGTGAGAGGGGGCAGTGACAAAGCCTGACCAGCTTCCTGCTTGGCTGCCTGCTTCCTCTCTGGCCCCGTGACCTCTGCACAGGATCCTCTTCTGCTCTTCTCCGTGTTCTGAGGGCTGGGGAGGGCCCTTGCCAGAGGCAGGTTTGGACCTTCCAGCCACTGGACTGTGAGCCAAATCAACCTCTTTTCTCCTTAGATCACCCAATGTCAGGGCATTCCAACACAAAACGGACCAAGACACCCACAGTGAGCAGTGTCTAGACTATTGGCTTCAAGTACCGTCACCACCGAAAGAGAAAGGCTACAGAGTAATGTAGTAATGTACCTGGCCATTGTGCCTGGCTACTCCACACCCAGCCATCGACCTAAGAGATTAGAAAGCTCATGTTGTTTGGGGCTGGGGATGTGGCTCAAGCGGTAGCACGCTCGCCTGGCATGCGTGCGGCCCGGGTTCGATCCTCAGCACCACATACAAACAAAGATGTTGTGTCCGCCGAGAACTAAAACAAAAATAAATAAATAAATATTAAAATTCTCTCTCTCTCCCTGTCTCTCTCTCACTCTTTAAGAGAAAAAAAAAAAAAAAGCTCATGTTGGCACAAAGGCCCGGTTCCTAGGAACCAAGGCTGAGTCCAGCAACAGAGATGGTCAGCAATGTCTGGGAGTTAACCCCGCTGAGTCCCACCTGGCAAAGCAAAGCAGTCCATCCCGCAGGAAGCTAGCCAGGAAGCCAAGGTGCGGAACAGCACACAGTGTGCACGCTTCAGAACAGGGGCTGCCTTTGGTGAGGGGAGAGGGTGGGGGTTGGGGGATGGTAATGTCGGCATTTGGGTGGGGGTTTGAGCTGTGTGGTTACATGCATTTGTCAGACTTTGGAAGGGCACACTCAGGACTCACAGACTTCACTGAATGCAATCTTGCCTCAAATGTCATCGAGCCCTATGCTGAGTGGCCCATGATGTGCATGGGAGGTCTTTAGGGGCGGTGTACAGGTGTCTCCTGCTGACCTCAAGATCCATCAGGCATGTAGGATGGGTTGAGTGAAGGGCTAAGGAATGGCGGATATCTAACACAGCAAACAGAGCCTGGTCAGTGGTGCCCTCTAGACCCTGGGCATTGGGGTGTTCATTGTACAATTCTTCCAACTATTTCTGTGTGCTCAAAGTTTTTCATAACAAAATCCTGGGTAGAAGCCTTGTCAGAGGACACATGGTTCAACTGGAAGAGGCTCCCATTGGCTAGACAGCATGTCGACTTCCTGTGGCTGCCATGACAAATCAGAATCTTAAGGGACATCAGACACGTGTGCTCTGGTAGCCTCAGAGCCAGAAGTCCTGTATGTCTTGTTTATGTCTGTGTGGCTGGGGACCTGCATGCCAGGCAAGTGCTCTACCACCAAGCTGCACTCCCCGCACCTGGCATATCCAGATGAGACGTGCCCGTGTCGTGGGGCCGTACTGCTGAGGGTCCGGGGAGAGCTCCTTCCTACCCTCCTGGCACCTGCAGGCTCCAGGTGCTCCTTGGCTGTGGCCACATGGCCTTCTCCTCTGTGTGTCACTCCTGTTCTAGATTATGTGCGGGCACTTGTCCTTGGGCCAACCTTGGCAAACAACCCCTTCTCTGTAACCTGGCATGAGCTGCTAGGATGGCTGTGTCTCTCCTGTGACTTGCCCATGTCCAGTCTTGGCTGAGTTGGCCCAAAATGCAGGGCAGGGAGCTCAGGAGCCCACACAGCTGAGTCCCCCACCCCTGCCTCGCTGTCCTTATGCTTCTGTCCCCTTTTGTAGCTCCCACAGGCCCAGCAGCCAATGGTCCCAAAGCAGTGCCTCTGACGCTGCCCCCGGATCTGACGTGGGCCATTGCCAGAGGTGGCCTTGGGTGCAGACAGCAGGCTCTCCAATCACTTGCAGGACCCTGAGCACAAAAAGGAGACTCAGGCTGTGGCCTAGAGTCTTCCTAGACTTCAGGGTACTGTCAGAGAGTCCTGAGCCTTGTCGCCCTGCGTTCCAGGAAATAGGCAGCGTCTGACAGGTCAGGCGGGGAGAGGGAAGTCAAGGCCCCTGTTCCCAGCCCTCTGCTGGGCTCTTGGCCACATCTTGATGTCCTTTCACTCTGTTTATTAAAGGAAGCCCTTCCTTCTGCTGATCACAACCACCATACTTAAGCTTGTTTGCAAAAATCCTGATACGCTGAACTGCGCCCACGTGCACTGCAGGAAGGCAGTAGCCTGGAAACCAGGTTAAGAATCTCCGTCTCCCTGGCAACCAAGCCCGGCCTGGGAGAGCGGGTCTCAGCCTCTTGGTTCCCGAGAGGCCGCCCTCCCCTCTTGGACACCCTGGCTCCTTCCCATATCCTCACCCTACCTCAGGTCATGCACAGGCCAGGCCTGCCCACCTGTATTATCTTTTGTGTGGTAAATCGCCCCCAAATTTGGGAGCTTAAAACACTATTTTTTCTCCCTGCATGAGTGGGCAGGAATGCAGATGCCCTGTGGGATTGGCTCCTGTTCTCAGGTGGGGCTGGGCTGCGCTCCATCTGAACTCACCTGGTCTGGCTCATGGCTTCCCCCAGGATTGGGACGAGGGGTAGGGAGAACAGAGTGTCCAGCCCGAGCAGCCTCTGCCCGCTCCCCATCTCGATGGCCCTACCCTGCTCCAGGACAGGATGCAGAGTCTGCAGAGCCAGCCCCCCACCCCCACACTGGTGTCTTCTCTCCTCACCTTGCACAGTGCACCCCGTAGCCACCTTCCTGTCACCTCCCTGCTCCCCCTTCCTCTCTGGCATGAGCTCCACGCAGTGGGGTGCCAACCCTCCACTGCTGTGGCTGTGTCAGCAGTGGGCCGGGCATGGGGAGGTCCGAGGTCAGGACCAGCTGATGGGTGAGGGGGAGGGTGCTGCCATCTCTTCCCCAGATGCCCTGCTGAGCAGGTGACTGTGGTCCCCGTGCCATGCTTGTCTGTGCCTAGTGGCGGTGCCTCGTGGACAGACAGGGACGGGCAGGGGCCACACACCTGCCAAGTGGCAGCTCACCATCGTGTCCTTCTCCCTGTGCCTCACAGGAAAGCATCCCCAGGCAGGGCCAGCCAGGGGCACAGGTGAGACAGCAGGAGGACATGAGGACAGCAAGTGCGTGGCATTGGAGAACACTGGAATTGAGCCACCAGGGGGACTTGGAGTTCTCGGTGTGACCATGAGGAGCGGTGTGTGTAAATGTAAGTGTGAGTGCGGGCACGGGGGGGGGGGGGGGGGGGGGGCTTCGCTGCCCACCTTCCCTGGCCCAGGATCTGGTCCTCTTTTTCCCAGCTCTGTGCAGGGCTGGGCGGGCGCAGGTGTGTCCCTGGTGGCGGGACTGGCGGTGGGCTCGGGCTGAGGCAGGCTTCCTGTGGCTGCTCCCTGTGGTGCTGTGGGCTCAGATGCTCCAGGGTCTGTCTCTCAGGTGTCTCTAAGAACCCTGCACACTGAGATCTTGGTCCTGCAGAGCGCTGCAGACAGCCACTGGCGAGCTGGCGTGGTGAGCCCAGGCCCCACGCACCCGCAGGCTCAGGCAGGGTGAGGTCCTGGAGCAGCCCTGAGACCTGACCTCCCTGCATGTGCAGGGCCCCCAGCAGCCAGCTCAGAGGAAGCCCAGCTTTCACACTGCAAAGAGGTGGGCAGAGGAGGGGACTTAGGGCCCCTAGAGCTGGACATGGTGGTGTGGAGGGGAGGAACTGGGAGCAGAAGCACGAGGGACAGGGGCTGTCTGAGCCTGGGGCTTGATGGTGCCACTTCCTCCAGGAACAGTCCTCTGACTGTGGGACCCCCCAGGGCAGTGTGCTGGGCAGAGTGGAGTGGGGGCTCTTCCTTCAGTCGGGCTGTTTGATCTGTGCTGGGGTGGGGGACGCCCACACAGGCCTGCCCGTAGGGAGCCCTGGTGACGCAGCCCAGCAGGGCGAGGTGGGGAGAGTCTCAGGCTGAGTGAGAGGGCATGAGCAGGGATTTGAGGCAGAGGGGTGGGTGTGAGGAGGGGGTTCTTGGAAGCAGAAAGACGTTGGGGCTGTAGTGCAGGCCTCAGGCCTGGCCCAGGGACCTGGAGGGGTGGCTTGGCAGGAATGGTGGAAGCTGAGGGGGAAGAGGCCCCTCGTGTGAGCCCTGCTGGGACACCATCAGCCTATGTGGGGACAGAGAGCACCCAGACTCGGCTGCCGGGTGGCGTGCGCTGTGGCATTCACCGCGGAGCCTGCAGAGCTTGGGCCTCCCGGGCAGTGCTCTACCCCTGGCACGAGGAGCGAGTCCTCTGCTGCTCAGGCAGGGACCCCGCTGCCAGCCCCTCATGGGACCCCTTCTGTGGCTCCTTGCCCTCCCTCCTCAGGCAGGGGCATCTACCCGTTCTTTGTGCCAGAAATGCTACATCTTGGCCTCCAGTGCAGGCTTTTGGAGCTCTGGGTGCTCCCAGGCTCTCGGGCTGGACGCCTCCCAGGCCTCTCAGACTCCCAGGTGCTGCCCGAGCCTCCAGCCTCGGGTGGGAGGGCCTGCCCCACCTCCTGCACACAGGCCCGTCTGTGCCCCAGCAGGCCCAGCAGGTGTCCTGAACAGAGACTTACCGTTCCAAGCTGGTGCCCTGCCTGAGCCACTGTTGCCCCACTGGTTCCCTGTCCTGTCGGAGCTGCCCTGGAAGCAGACGCCTGTAAGTCCTGACCCTCGGGGTTCTGAACAGTCACTGCCTTCCTCTGGCACGGCAGAGCCAGGTCACAGTAACTTGGGCGTTACCCCAGCTCGGATAACACAGTGTGGCTCCAGGAGTAGATGTCACCTGCTGGGTTGAGTCCACTCACCTGTTCCTTTGTAGTCCTACCCCTTTGCCCTTTGGGGGATAGAACAGTCCATGGAACAGCCTCCCCCAACAACACCCGGGTTCAAGGAGCACGCTCTCTCTTGCCTGCCTTGTCTCCTGTGGGAGCTGGGTTGGAGGAGCCGTCACAGAACCAGAGAAAAAGGTATTTCTCTGTCTCTGTGTGTTTACTTGGTGCAGCCCAGTTCACCTGGGGTGACCCTGACTGGGTCAGTCACGTGTCACGACAAATGGAGGCCTGAACTGGGACTCCAGGGTGAATTTTAGAAACTAGTGGGTTTGGAATGTCTCTCCAGAGGTTAAGCGTGTTTAAGATTGCAGAGTATGGTGGGCTGAACTGTAGAAAGTAAGTGAATGAGACAGAAGTACCATCTGTGACGTTAGACTCATAATATCTGGGGATTTTTCATCTTTAGAAAGATAAAAATTTTAATTTTGCAATTCTAGAGACCATAAATTAATGTAAAGAATTATTAAGGTGATTAATAGGATACATTGATACCTCTGGTCCTCTCCCATGGGAAAAGCGTGGGACTAGATTTTTTTCTGACTGGGAAGTCTTTGGACTTCCCAGAAGATTTTTTCTGATTTTTTGGTAAATTTTTATATTTGGAAATATTAGGTAAAGATTTTTTGGAATTTATACACTAGGAATCAATGTTAGGAGAGTGAGAGGAAAAAGGAAAAATCTTTCATGGTGAGACTTGATATGGGGGATTCTCTACATCTAGGGAGGCAGATTTTGTTTTTCTCCTGTTTCTTAAAGGCGTCTGCATCCAGAGCAGCTCCCGGCACTGTCCTCTTCTAGAATCTTCCGGCCCACTGTGCACTTAGCAGCAGTCAGAGGGTCTCGTGGATCTGGGGCGCCAGCTGTGTGCTTCCCGCTTCCGCAAACCTCTCCACTGCCCTCGCTGAGCTCTGCCCATGCCAACTGTGCCCTGGCAGTGGGAGACCACCAGAATGGTCTTCCCTGGTGAGTGCCACTCCCCTGGGTCAGCTTCTCCAGAGACGGACCCAGCGGCTGAGCAAACGTGTGGACATGTGCTCTGAGGAGCTGGTGCTCCCGGTGACAGAGGCTGGCCAACCTAGAGCCTGCGGGGCCGGCTGCAGGCGGGAGACCAGGGAGGCCGACGAGCAGCTTGTGTCCAGAAGCTGCCCCCTGGCAGGATTCCCTCCTGCTCAGGGGTCCCCAGGCTCCTCTTGGGTTCTTCTCAGGCCTTCGACTGATTGGGTGAAGCCCACCCATACCGTGGAGGACAAGAGGCACCAATTTAAATGCTGATCTCATCCAAAAACACCCTCACAGAAAACTCCAGAATAATGTCTGATTGACTTATTACCTCAGCACCATGGCTCAGCCAAGTTGTCACAAAAAATTAGCAGCACGCTCCTCAACAGGCATCTTTTACTTATAGTCCCAGGACTTCACGCTCTTTCCATGGCCTGCAGTGTGATTTCAAAGCCCTGGGGTCTGATAATTGCCCGCGTTCCCACCTGGCTCCACAGTCTCCCCTGCTCACGTGTGAGGGCATCCCGGCCTTCCCTGACTCCTGGACACGTGCGGTCTCTGCACACCTAGCCTGCGCACCTGCCACAGCCGTGAGTGGCTCCCTTCCCTGATGCTGCTGCAGGCTGCTCTGGAAGCCTCACAGCACCTAAAGGACCTAAAGCTCGCGGCTCCGACCGACACCTCCTGCACTCACAGCCTCTCGTCTGCGGCGTCCGCCCGTCCTGCAGGCTGCTGTGGCCCAGGGCTCCGCGCAGCAGATGTCCTTGTTGCCGCAGGACATTGCTAGTCCGGATTTCCTGGGTCACTGCCCTTCCTTCCGATGTTCTACACCTGTTACTGTTTGCCTCTGGACGTCCCGGGCCCAGCAGGCAGGGAAGGCCTGGCCCCTCTGCGGGTGCTCAGAGATGGGGCTCTGGGGGGTGACTGGGTAGCGAGGCTCAGGCTCACAGCAGGTGGATGTTGGGAGGTGGTGTGGACCGGAGGAGGCGGCCCTGCTTGAAGGAGGGTCCCTGGGGGTGTGCCCTGGGGCCTGCATCCCCCCCCTCCCTCTCGGCTTCCTGGCCGCCCTGAGCTGCCGCTCTGCCTCCCCTCAGCACCAAAGCCCTGGGGTCACTGGCCAGGGACTGAAACCGAGTACCCTTTCCAGCTCTAGGTTGTCTTCCTCAGGTCCCAGCACGGAGAGCCAGCCACATGCCCTCTCCATGGTCACAGTCCCCTCTCAGCCCACCTTCGGAAGCTCTAGGAAGGGATTTTTAGTGGGAAACTTCTCGATATCTCTAGGCTTTATTTGTCTAAAAACTGTATTTATCTAAACTTTAAAACAATGTCTGCATCGAGGGCTGAGGTGCAGTTCAGTGGCTGAGTGCTTGCCTCGCATGCTCAAGGTCCTGGGTTCAACCCCCAGCACGAATAAAAACAAGTTGGAATTAACAATTAAGCCAGGCTGATTCACATGTCACCTCACACGCTTGTGTGTGTGTGTCGTGAACACTTAAAACCTACTCTCGGTAACTTTGAACCATGTTATATCAACTGCAGTTGCCAATCTGTGCAATAGTTCTCAGGGGCTCATTCTTCCTGTCTCATGAAAACTGTGCCCCTCGCTGATCAACACCCCAGCTCCCAGGAATCAGGAGTCCACTCTGCTTCTGAGCTCAGTGTTTCCAGACCCGCGGATGCGGCTCGGCTTGTTTCACCTGCTCCCTGTCCTCCAGGTGCGTCCACATTGTCACAAAGGATAGGATTTCCTTCCCTTTTTTTTGTACTGGGGACTGAACTCAGGGGCACTCCATCACTGATCCACATCCCAGCCCTATTTTGTATTTAGAGACAGGGTCTCACTGAGTTGTTTTAGCACCTCGCCATTACTGGGACTGGCTTTGAACTCGCCATCCTCCTGCCTCCCCAGCGGCTGGGGTTACAGGTGTGCACCACGCGCCTGTCAGTTTTCTTCCTTTTTAAAGAAAGTTCTGAAACATTCATGGTGTGTGTGTTCCGCGTTTTCTTCACCCACCCATTCACTGGAGGATGCCTGGGCTGATCTGGGAACAGTGCTGTGGTGACTGGGGGGTGCGCAGCCCAGCTGTCTCTGCCACCTGCTGCCTGCCTTTTCTTTGGGTGTACGCTCCACAGGGGGCGGCTGCATGGCACAGCACAGCGGCTCTTCTTTAGGTCTCTGCAGGGGCCTGCATGCTGTTTTCTACCCAGCTGTGCTAGCGCACATTCCCAGCAACCACACGGAGGCGCCCTTCCTCCACACTGGCCTGTGGTCCTTTCAGCAATCACCATCCTGACAGGTGTGTGTGTGTGTGTGTGTGTGTGTGAGAGAGAGAGAGAGAGAGAGAGAGAGAGAGAGAGAGAGAGAGAGAGAGAGAGAGAGAGACGGCTAGTGACACTGAGGATTCCCCCCTGCCCAACCCTATGGACCATTTGTATGTCTTCTTTTGATCCATTTTGATCTATTCAGAGCCATGGCTCAATTTTAAATTAGGCTATTTGTTTTCTTGCTATTGAGTTGTTTTCTAAACTTCAATTACCTGAAAATGTTATTTTGCACTCACTTTTGGAAAGACTGAACAATTCTTAGTTGGCAGTTATCCTCTGAGCACTCACTTTAAAGACACCATTTTTTTTTAAAAAATATATTTTTTAGTTGTAGTTGACACAATGCCCCTATTTTACTTGTTTATATACATGTGGTGCTGAGGATGGGACCCAGGGCCTCATCCGTGCTCAGCCAGCGCTCTACCGCTGAGCCCCAGCCCCAGCCCTAAGGACACTATTTCATTCTCTTCTGGTTTTCATTGTTGCCCTTGAAATTCTGCTGTCAGCCTAACTGCTGTCTCCTTGGGACTTATTTTCCTTGGAGGAAGGTCCCAAAGGTTCCCTTTGGCCTGCAGTTTCACTCTTTTGTACTGGGGCAAACTTTCTTTTCATTGTTCTAGTTAGTATACTTATGTTCCCTGTGGAATCCTGCCTTTCACCAGTTCTGAAATATTTTTTACTAAGTGTCTACCCACACAGCTCTTTCCTTGGAGTTTCAGCTGGGTTTCCCTTGGCTCTCTGCATGCTATCTTTTATGTTTCTTTTACACTTTTAACTTTGCCTCATTCCTTGTGCCACATTCTTGATAATTTCTTTAAATTTATCTTCCAGGTCACAAATTTCCCTTTCAACTGTGTCTAACTGACTGCCTAACCCATCTACAGGCTTCTTTTCTAAAACAACAGCTGTACTGAGATACAATTCACATCTATTTTTAGAACATCTTCATCACTCCAAAATCCCAGATTTTTATCATTTTCATTTATTAGCAATGTTAACGAGCAGCCCCTTTCCTTCCTCCCTCCCTCCCCCAGTACCAGGCTCCACTAATCTATTTTCTGCTTCTGTTGGATTCTCCAATTCTGGAGATTTCATATAAATGTAAAGATACAATATATAGTGGGGTGTGTGTGTGAGAGACACATACACTGGCTTTTCATTTAGTGTGATTCTTTCAATGTTTCTCTGACTTTTCCATCTCATTTCTAAAGATTTTATTTTTTCCAGATGGACATTGGTCATCAAGCTTGACAGTGCCTTGTTCCATTCTTTAATATATCTTAAGAATGCTGAGAAGATTGACTCTATCTTTCCATATTTCCAGTGTAGTGAGTATTTGGGGATTTGAACCTACCGCGACCTTGTTTCTGTTGAGTGTTACTTTGTTTTCTTTGGATGCAGCTGACTTTATTATTCTGAGTTCATGGTTGGTCAGGTGAGTCCTGTGAACCAGTCCCTGCACTGGGGGTTGCTTACCTGCAGACATGTCACACTTTTGTTTTTGGTCGCCGCTGTGGGCCACTCTGGTGCCCTTGGCGGCTCAGCTTTCTACAGAGTCTCAGGCCCAGCCCCCTTCCTACCCCATTGCCCATACACTTTGGGGGTTTGTTGCAAATGCTACCCCAAATCTGCAACCGTGTGGGTATGCTTGGCTATAGCTTCCTACAGATGGAGCTGCATCTCTCAGCTGAAAAGAGGTACTTTGACCACCTTATGTGGGTATTAGAGAATGTACCCCTGAGAGCAGCCCTTGATGACTCCTTGGATTGCTGAAAAAATACTGCAGCTCCTCACCTGTGGGGCGAGACCACTCAGGTTCGTTTGATGTCATTTTTCAATACTTCTCCCTGTGACAAGGCTCCAGGCCCCACTCTGGTACTCTGCTCAGAACCACACCTTTACTGGCCTCCCTCCCTGCCCTGGACCACTGAATGCTAATCTCTACCCCCAGTTACGCTCCCTGCACCTCCAAATACAGCTTGCCCTGGAATCCTTGCCCCAGATTCTGTCTCTGCAGAATCCACACCAAGACCCAGGATCTCTGTCATGTGCAGGTCTGGATTCTGCCCAGGGCACCTGTGGCCTCCGTGTCTGCCTCCTCTCAGCAGCAGGCTCTGGGGCTCTTGTTTACTCATTTATTGAAATTCCTCTTACTTTCTTGAGGGCTCTGTAATATTTTCAAAAGTGCTGTGCTTGAGCTGTGACCTAGTTCTTGCTGTCTGCACCTTCTAAATCCTGACTCTTCCTCCAGGTGTCAGTTCAAGATCACATCCTTGGAGAAGCTCTCTCCCACCCAAATGCAAATCCCGGTCCTCTTAAACTCTTGTCCATCTCTTCTTTGCCTACAGTCCTCCAAAGCTACACAGAGGAGGAGCACTGAGATGTTTAGCTGCTGCAGCCTGATATTGCCTGTGTCACCTGGTCAACTGTGTGACCCTGAGCTGGGAGCTCAACCTCAGTGCAGGTATGATGGAAACGGTCAACAACCCTGCAGAGTAGGGTCATTGTCCATCGTACTGAATAGCATACACCAAGTTTCTAGACTAGGAGGAACACATAGTATGTGCTCAATAAACATTGACTCAGCTGGTCACATCTTACAAAGATACAGTACTAGTGACAACCATTTGTCTAGGGTAAGACTCGGGAGGACAGAAACCTACCTCTATCTTCTCATCGCGTTTCCAGCGCCAACGCAAGCGCTAGAACAGTGGCACTTTTTCTAGCCAAAAGAATGAAAGGAGGTCTAGAAGGACCGACGGTGGCTTCTGGCTTACCCAGTGTGGGCCTGAGACCGATTCCAGGCACAAGGGAAAGCCGGTCCAAACCCGCGCTGCCTCGCCAGGATTCTAGCCTTCCGGGTGTGGGTGTGGCTGGTGACAGAAGTCCCTGGGGTTCGGGCTGGGGCTGAGGGTGGGGGTCTTCTCGAGGCCCGGAGGAGAACTGCCTGGAGCAATAGGAAACGTGGACTGGGTTGGGAGGGAGGGGCCCCACGCTGGGAGGCTGAGCCGGCGGTGGGTGACGGGACCTGCACGGAGCACCGCGGCTTTACCTCCCTCCCTCTGCGTCTTTGTGCGCTTCTCTTCCTTTCGCAGTCGACGTTCTTCCGAGAATTTCCAAGGGGAGCTCAGCCAAGCGGAGGGGGAAGGGATCCTGCCCACGCCTGGGTAGGGGGAGGTGGGGGCGGGGATGGGGGGTGGGGGAGGTGCACCGGGCCGCGGTGGTGGGCGCGGGAACCCGAGAGGGCGCGCGCGGCCCTGGCCAGCGACCTGCCGCGGGGCCGCGAGCCCCAGGCGCCCCCCCGCCCGCGCGTCTCCCCGCCGCCCCCGCCCCCCGCGCGGCCCCCGCCCCGGCTCCGCCCCGCCCCTCGCGCGGGGTCCGCGTCTGCGGCTGCGTTCCCCGAAAGACGAGGCTGCGCCCGGGTTCCGGTCCGCAGGGAGACCGAAGGGCACCACTCCCCGCGCCGCGCACGCCGCCCGAGCCCGGAGTGCGGACACCCCAGGGATGTGAGTGCGCCCCCCGACCCCGAGGCCCGCGCTCGACGCCCTGATCCGCGGTGAGCGCCAAGGCGCGCGCGCGGGAGCCGGGGGAGGGGACCAGGCGCGGGGTTCCCGGCCCCCCAGCCCAGGGGTAGGGGTGGGGACGAGGCGCGCACCCCTCCCCTGTCGGCAGGTACGGTCCGCTCCCACCTCCTCTTGTCGTTCCTGACCCGACGCACTGACAGCTCCCCAGGGAGGAGAGACGCCCCCCTCCCCCGTACCCGCTGCAGGTGCCGGGCCCGGGGTGGGTGCAGCTTGGGTGGTCACCTCGCTGGAGCGGGCAGAGCTTTTCTCCCTGGCGGGGAAGCTGTGATGGTGGACGCGCTGGGGGATGGGTGGGGGTGGGGCTCGGCGAGCTGCTGGCCGACCCCCAGCTTTGGATTTCTGGGAGGAGGACTCATCCCGAGGCCAGAAAAGGAGAGGGTCCCTGCGCCTCAGCCAAGGGCTGGGTCTCCTGACCGAGGCTTCTCCCCGGAAGGCCTGCGCCCCAGAAGACCCCCACCCGTAGCCCCCGCGCCTCCCCGAGGCCCGCCCGGAGCATGCTGCCCGCAGCCATGAGGAGCCTGGGCCTGGCGCTGCTGGCCTTGCTGCTGTGTCCCGCGCCGGGTGAGTTGGGGTCCGTGGGGCAGGGGCAGGTCACCGGAATATCCGAATCCTCCAAGGGTTCGGTTCTCACCACGCCCCTTCCCAGCCCCTGCGACCCCAGGCGGCCCTTGCCGCTTGGCAGTAGCCATGCGGGTCTCTCCCAGCCCCCGACGGCACCAGGCACCTTTCCTCCGGGCTGCTGGTCCTGCGTGGGTACTCCTCGCTGCCCAGTTGTCCGGGTTCTCACACTTCTTCTCTTCCCGGAGCCCCACCAGGCTACCCACCAAGTCCTCTTTGGGCCTTAATAGCTTGGGACCCACCCAGCTCTGGGGGTGTCTGTGAGGCGGGGCAGGAGTGTGCAGGACACGGGGTGTGGCTTGCTCATTCCTGTCCAGTGGGAGCTGGAGCCACCTCTGTGGGCGTGGTTCTGCCAGGAGGGCAGGTGGGGATGGAGGGGACACAGGACCTGGCTGGTCAGGCTCCAGTTCCTCTGGTCATCTTGAGCCCTATGCTCTGCCCAGCTCATGGCCTCTGGTGCCAGGACTGCACCCTGACCACCAACTCCAGCCATTGCACCCCGAAGCAGTGCCAGCCATCGGACACTGTGTGTGCAAGTGTCCGGATCACCGACCCCAGCAGCAGTAAGTTGGGATCAGGGTGGGGGTGAGGTTGTTGAAGGCAGACTCTGGGGAGAGGTCAGAGGTGTGGTTCTCCGAGCCGCCCTGGGCTGGGATGAGTACGGGTTTGCCGGTAGGATGCAGCCCAGGTTTTCCCTCCTTGGCTCCTTAGGACCCCTTTCTCTGTAGATCCCAGCTTCGGTGGGTTGAAGGCCTCAGCTCTGTGGCCCTGGCCCCAAACTGACCTGGAGGGTCTTGGGGACAAAGCAGAGGGTCCAGGTGGAGCTCCAGTCCCAGTCCCTTGTCTCCCCAGGCAGGAAGGATCACTCCGTGAACAAGATGTGTGCGTCCTCCTGTGACTTCGTCAAGCGGCACTTTTTCTCAGACTATCTGATGGGGTTCATTAACTCTGGGATCTTGAGAGTCGACGTGGAGTGCTGTGGGAAGGACTTGTGCAACCAGGCAGCCGCTGTGGGGTGCAGCCCCTGGGCCCTGGCTGGGGGGCTCCTGCTCAGCCTGGGGCCTGCCCTCCTCTGGGCTGGGCCCTGAGGTCCCTCCTTCCCGCAGGGTTCTGAGCTTGTTCCCCTGAGTCCGGCTGGCACTGCCTCACCCCAGGCTGGTCTGACCCAGGCGGGGACACCACTGGCCAGTACTGTGGTCTGTGGCTCTCACCTTCCCTATGTGAGACCTCCTGCCTTTTCACCAGTTCCATGTCGCAGGCAGCTGGATTTCTCCAGGACACCTGGTGTCTGGGCAGGAGGCTGGGGACTGGGGTTGAGGGCAGGAGCTGGGACCCCAAGGTCCCCTAGGGGAAGTGAGGCCAAGCCAGGCACAGCCCAGAAGCCTGGCCTGAAGGGCATCGTCTACAGAGAAATAAAGTCACTTCTGAGTCCTGAGGCTCGGGTCTGAGCCTGGGTGTGATGGGCGGGCAGGTCCTGGCGGAGAACATGGAGGGGCTCAGATAGCAGTCAGGTGGGGGCATCTGTCACCTGTGGTGTCACCACAGGGATCAAGGTGGTGGGTGGGTGTACTGGGCTGCCTGAAGCTGCCCTGAGTGGGGGCTACTTGGGCCTAGTGAGGATTGGGAGCAGTGGGCGTGGGGGGCTGAGGGTCAGGATGAACAGGATCACAGGGTGGGATAAAGGTGGGGTGTGGGAACCCTGGTGCACCCTCAGACACCAGGGTGTACACAGCTGCACGTCAGCACACACACAGACAGCAGCGTGTGCACACATGGCCAGCGTGCACAGATGTTCCCCTACACCATGCCCACAGACCACGCACCCTGGATCCTCGACAGTGCTCACACCCCGCTCAGCCACAGGTGTCTGCTGGTATAGGCACCAAGACATCCCCACAGCACCAGTTCAACCTGGTATGTCCCAGTGCACACTCACGTGATCGTGCCTGGGTTCACACCCAACCTTGAGTGCTATGTTCTATGTGCATGTGGACACTCATCACCTCTTGCTCCCAGCCACTCTTTTGGGGTCCCTGGATGGTGAGGCTCTGGGATGGCTGAGAGCCCCTGGAGCTGCTGCAGGCCACATGAGCCCTTGCTGGGTATCTGCAGCTCACCTACCCTCAGTTGGGATTGAGCATGGGTGGAGTCCTGTGGCCAGGGCATGAGGATGCTATACCTCCTGTGGGCTGGCACCTGTGCCAGGGGACAGGGAGACCCACCCAGGTAAATCAAGGTGCCCTCCTAGGTCTTCCATGCCAGCTGGGGGTCTCAGATCTCATCCATGACTCCAGTCCAGCCCAGCCTCCCGCCCCCTTGAGCCCCTGTGCCAGACGCTCCATGGGGTTCATCTCGTGGCCCCGGCTTACAGCATGCTGCTTCTCTTCTCAGGAGGCCGCCAGCTGTGGGGATGTGCTCTGAGCCCATTTTTACACAAGTCTTTGGACTTTGGCTAGTGCTCCCTTGTGCCACCTGTAACTGACCTGGACTTCCTGCCAGACTGTCCTGGGTTCCCAGAGACAGAAGTGGTTCCTGTGGGATCTGGCCTCAGCTTTGCTCCCAGAGGCCCTGCAGGAGTGTCGGAGGGGACCAAGGTGTGGGGCGGGGCCTCCAGTCCCTGCTGGACAGTGACACTGGCTCCGTGCCGTGGCACAGCCTAGGGACTTGCCCCTGGAGAGCCGTCGCCCCTTTCCATTTGAATTCTGCTCTGCTGCCCTGTTTTGGACCTCTGCTGCCCCCACCCTTCAGTAACATGTGTGGCCCCTCAGGTGCCTGGTGTTTTGTGGGTGCTGGGGATCCAGCTGGTGCGGGGGAGGATGTGCAGAGAATCTCTGGAACCCAGGGGCAAGATGCTGCGGCCGGGGAGCCCTGGAGCAGGGTGGTGGCAGCTCCTGGGGAAGCCTGGAGCTGGGCCGTGGAGGCCCCCGGCTGTGAGGATGTGCTCTGAGCCCGCGTCCACACGAGTCTTGGTGTGCTGCATTTATTGTTTGAGAGAAGCATCTGAAAACAAAAGGGAGTGAAATTCTCCCAACTCTTTGAAGATGTGAAATTAGAAGGGAGCCTCCGATTCCCACCTGAGGGACTCCAGAAAGAGGGGCAGCAAGCTGAGGGGACCCCACAGGGGACGCCAAGTGGCCGATCTCCCTAAGCTGGCGTGCTCCCTGGAGTTTAAGCCGGTCCTGCCGACAGACTCCGCTGCCTGAGGAGCCTCCGTCCTCGGGCCAGCGCTGGCCCACGGGGGCCCTGGGTGCTCTTTCCCCAGCAGCTCCAGCCGCCTCTTCCCAGGTCAGTGCCTCTAGGTGGACCTTTTGTCTCCGACCTCTGCTGAGCCCCCTGGGACTGCGTGGCTGCTGCGCTTACTGAGCCTCCCTTACTGCTGGGCGTACGGGTTTGTTTTCAGCTTGTCGGCAGCAACTGTGAGGGGACCACCTGTGTCCTCACAGCTCTGTGGGCCAAGGGACGCATCTGCAGGACTGATCCCCTGAAGTGGAAAGCTGAGCCAGAGAGGAAATCTTACTGGGAGGTAGGTGCTCCAGCGAGGCCATGTTGGTTGAATTCTTCACACCCTCTGTGGCCAGGGCTCGCCACCTTCGGCCATTCTGCCCTTCAGTGGACAACAAGAAGCTCACTGTGATCCGTGTAGAGAGTTGTGGGTGCAGCCGAAGGACTCCATGCTGGTTAGCCACTGTGATTCCCCCATGCAGTCTGTCCCACCCTTGCCTGTTCCACTCTGGCCTTTGCTCTTGTGTATCAGGGACTCGGGTGTCCCCAGGTCGTGTGGTGCATGACCCTCAGTGCATTGCTGTGTCCACCACCTGAATGTCCGTTGTGCTCAGAGGTCGCGCACGGCGGTCAGTGTCCTCTGTGTTCAGGCCGTGCATCTCAGGACCTCTTCCACCCTCCTGCACAGTCTCTGGACGCTCCAGAAGGTTGCAGACCTGGTTGCTGCATTCAGACGTCCAATTCATGGCAGAAGGGCGGGTATTCTCTCAAGTGGCCCCTTTTTCTCAGCGCCATTTATTAAATAATTCACCTTTCCCCGATGACTTAAAACGTCAGCTTTGTAACGTGATGTGTCCTACCCCAGGGTGCCTCTGGCCCGTCCCCCGTGGGGACCCCGTGTCATGCTGTGCTCGTTCATAGCCTCTCAGCTCCTGCTCAGGCCGGTGCCCTTCCGCCCGCTCCTCCCGCCGTATTCTGGAGGTGACTCAGGCCAGGCCCGGAGCGCCCATCTGATGGGCTGGACCTGGGTTGGCGCCCTCCCTGGGCGCCTTGCTGCTCCCTCCCTGCAGCGCCTGCGCGGCCTCCCTTGTTGCTTCGCTCCCCTTCCTGGGGCTTGGCGCCTTCTTGATACATTGTTGCTGGTGACTTGTAGCTTTCCCGGGTTTTATAAATGGGATTTCCTCCTTTCCTTCTCCTTTAACTGGTTGTTTTGGGGTGGGAAGCTGGTGTTTTGACTCTCTTGGGGACATCTGTTCCTAAGCGTCCCACCTCACTCAAACGGGAATGAGGGGGCTGCTTGTATAGGGGAGCAGGTGGCAGGGCAGGCAGCTTGGGTCTCTGGTCTTCGTCTTCCAGAATCCCAAATCCACCTTACCCTGGCTTTTCTGAGGAACAGGGAGATCCCCAGGAAGAGCCTCACAGACATTTCAAAATAGGGCCTGGGTGCAGGGGGACTTCCCTCAACCCAGGAGGAGGCACCCTGAGCAGGTGGGGAGAGGAGAGATGAGGCTGATGGGCTCAGAGGTGCCCAGCTTCCTGGGAAGTGCTCCTGGGGGTGGAGGCCTGGGGAGTGACAGTGTGGAGGGCACAGGTGGCATCCAATGCCATAAGTAGTAGCTTGGCCAGCAACAAGGGGCAGTGAGGCCACACAAACTAGGGCGGAGGTCATTTTGGCGGCAGCCTGTGTGGATGGGTGGTCAGCACCATGGTGTGAGTAGACAGCTCTGTCCCTGCTCCCTCGTCCCCAGTTGGATGCCGCCCTGGGGAGAAGATGTGGAGTGTGCTCCGTCCACCGAGATGGGTTCCTGCCCAGAGAAAGGTGGGTCTGGAAATAAAATGGCAGGGACATCACCATGTGTTCCTTTTCTGGCAGCATGGTGGACTCTGTGCACTGTCCTCTCTGGTGTCCACCCCTGTGTGTGCCATGTCCTCTCTGGTGCCCACCCCCATGGTCTGCCTGCACTGGGCTGGTGTGGGAGCATGGTGCCCAGCTGACCTGGCTCCACCCTACCTGTTCCAAGTCACCATGGCCAAATGCTAGGGGCTGAGAGGCTGCAGAATGAAGTCCCCAAATTCCAGAGGGGAGCAGGGTTCACAGTGCAGGAGCTGAACTGCAGAGAATGTCTGGGTAATTGAAGTAGCTGCAAGTGACATCACCCCTGTGCGGAGGAGAGCCCCTGTCCCCGAGCCCTGCAGCCCTGCAGCAGCACCTGTTAGGTTTTGAGGGGTGCACATGGCACCTGCAGATGAGCAGCTCTGTCCTCCTGTTCTCCTTTGGGCTTCAGGTCACTGCCTGCTTTGCAGAGCGTGGCTGAATGAGGACTGGGCCGCGGGTCTCTTCACAGAAGGCTTTCCTGCACACCAGGAGCTGTTTGCTGTTGTGCTTGCAAATCTGTCTTTATTCAATTTAGACTATTTATTCATATTTCAATTATATTTTTAAACTCAGGAATGGCTGATGGATTTAGAAGAAACCCCCTTTGTCATCTGTTGATATAGCCAAGTATTTTCTCTGCTTCATGAAGAGCTTGTACAGTAAGCTGCTTTGCCAGCCACCTTGGCCCTGTGACCTATGATTCTTCCACCCCACTGCCACATAGGACGTGTGCTTCGTGGGACGTCTAGGGCACCTTCAAGTGAGACCTGCTGTAGTTCTCCTCTGACATCTTCACTGGAGCAAGGAGTCCCACAGCCTTGCAGAGCCCCAGGCGTCTCTGCCTCCCCAGCTCAGGAATGGTCTCCCTGCCCAGAGAAGCTATCACCAGCAGGTGCCCTGTGCCCCCCTGCTCTCTCTGTTGTCACTGGTGCCGGCCTCCTCCCAGTTGCTGGGAGACCACATCCATCTCCCTTTCTTTGTACCCAGTCATGTCCAGTTCTAGGTCTTGTTATACCCATTTTACACCCAGAAGCAGATTTGGAAGTAGGACTTTGAGACGTGAAGCCTTCACCGATTTGCAGGAAGTGCAGGGCTGCCTGGATCCAGATTTCCCTCTTGCTTCCTTGCTGTGTGATCCCAGCAGAAAGCCTAGTTCTGGGTCAGAGGTGGGGCACACCCAGCTCAGGGGTGTTGTGCCCCAGGAGGCCAAGCTGGTCCCAAAGCCCAGCCTCTGGCTCCTTCTGTTCGACACTGGTAGAATGCTAGTCCAGGCAGGGAGTCGGGAAGTGGTGGGTTGGGTGGGATTTGGAGGATTAGCAGCTCCCCCTCAATTCCTG